CCCCAAAACCCCAAAACCCCAAAACCCCAAAACCCCGAGGTATTCTTTATAGCATTCAATTCAATTCTGAGAGATGTTAATATATTAAGTGGTAAAAATAAAATTAAAAAAATCATAATGCCTTAATTCTTGTTGTAGAAGAATCTGAATAACAGTCTAGGTATTGCCTCAGAAGTAATAAAGTCAATTTTTAAAAGAGTAAATCTAAAGATTGGTATTATTGAAGCTGAAAAGAAAGCTACGCCATATGCTGTTTTCTATACATAAGAGTAGTGCTTGCTGCTTTCGGACATTTATTTTCTGTAAAAAGATTTGAGAAAAGATGATGTATTCCTAGATTATGAAGATGAGCCATTTTTAGATGTCAAAGAACAGCATATTTCTCATTTTGTCTTGCTTAACAGTCCCAATAAAAATCATGAAAATGATATTTCCGGTAATATCAGGAGCAAAGATGTTTGGAAAAATTGAATAAATGGGCGTTTATCTCCTACTAGAAGAAGTTCATCAAGAAGGTCTGCTATTTTGTCTCCTAATATGAGGGTTAAAAAAAGCAATAAGTCCCCTGACAAGATAGATCGTGGAGAACTGTAGCAAATCAAGTTAGATATCAAAATACCACCTAAAGAAGAGGACTAGGAATAAATTGATGAAATGAGGGTACAGCATCATAAGAGAAAACAAAAGATTTTAGAGAACATTCAGAAAAATAATTCTAAGCTCAGCAAAAGAGCGCTTAACTCGCATAGATAGCAAATGCTTGGCCAAACTATTTCAGACAATCAGTTTACTGAAACAAATATGACATTCGATACGAATGGCAAACCTTTGCATATAAAACTGATAAATGCGGCAAGTCTTAAACCAGCAAAGCTTGATATGCTTCCTAATAGGCAGTATAATTTACATTCTGAATTTGGAAATAATCAGTTACTTAAAAAGCATGCCTCCTCTTAATCAAGAGAAAAGAATTTGAAACCTTTAAACCACACTCCAAAGAATATATTGGTAAGTTAACTACAAGAAGAAGAAAATGAGAGCACATAGGAGCAATTAGCAAACATAAATGAAGTTCTCAAGCCAGATTATGGAGTGGTAGTTAAGAACAAGATTGGCTAAACAGTGGCACAGGGGGATGATTATCATAATAAGGATTTTAAGAACAAAAGAAGGATGAATATGTCAATCTACAAGACAGGTCTCAGTAATACATATTCTTTAAATATGAGCTCATTGTATTAATCTACTCAATCTTAGTAAGATAGAAATATAAACATTAAAGATCAAGATAGAACCCATTTAGCAGATGCTAAAATCATTTTACAATAGGATGATTCATTAACTATGGATATTGATCAGTCTATTGTAAAGCTAAATACAAACTAAGTTAACAGTTTAAAGAATAGATTTAGACATATAACTAGAAGCTAAAAAAGAAGACAGATTTCAACTGAATAAGGATTTGGGTAGATCATGCTTAGTTAAACATAAGATCATAACATGCTGTTTGAAAGTTAAGCAAACTATAAGTAGTATCCGATTTACACAGAATAGTTTTAATTTAATGAAGGTTTAAATAACAGAGATACTGTTAAGTCATTTTACTAAATGTTATAGACAGAAACAACTCCTGCAGGAAATCCGCAATAATAAAATCTCTCATTTAGTATAGATGTTTAGGGTAATCATCAAACAAGCTTCTTAAATACAGTTAGGGAGAGCTAAAATAGAGCTAATAGTAATATAAGCAAAATGCCTCCTCATTCTCATTAAAGGTAAAAATCTCAAATGAGTGCTAATCAAGGTCATATTTTGGTATACAACAATAATGCCTTGAATACAACCTAAGAGTAAAAGGACTAAAATGCCTTGGGAAGAAATAGCATTAATTAAAGATTTAACTTGAGCTTAATTGGTTAGCAAAATTAAGAGCAAAATTTTGAAGATATTAAATAATTTAAAACAATGTTTGAGGATTCTTTACAAAATAATGATATGAGCTCTAGAAAAACAGCATCTCAAATTCATAAATAGACTCTAATCAGTCAAGCACTAAGTAAAAGATTGAATATTATGGGTAGCAGAGCATTAAAGCTGAGAAAGCATTAAAAGCTTGAATTATTTAATAGTAACAATCAATAATTATGATTAATGAACTTTCTTTTAAAATTTGAAATTTTAGTCAACGGGGTTTTGGGGTTTTGGGGTTTTGGGG